AAATGCTTTTGGCAACTCAAACTACAGTTTGTTGTGCAAAAGTTAGAATACTTTAAAATATGCTTTCAAATAATGCTCTTATATGGAAAAAGCACATTCTAGTCCTCTTCAAAATATTTCCGAAAGCAAGGACTTAGAATATATTAGAACTTTGGAGATCTTAATAAGTGGCAGGCTTTCAAAAATAACTGAGTGGAGCTATTTTGGGCATAGTGTCTTAACTTAGAATTCCACTATTTTGATAAGTAAGAGTAGAAGAACATGGATTTAGGCACTAAATAATTAAAAATTCATAGCATGCTGTTCATATGGATGTTACCAGTGCACATTTGCAAGGAGGATCCTTTGAATTTTTTTTAATTCATATTGGATTGCAAGAAACTGTAGATGATAATTCCTGTGTTTCCATCATGAGGTAATCAGAATACTCTGAAAATGTTATTTTCAAACCTTGTGCTATGAGATTACCATACAAATTTTTTCCTAAATTCTATATGGTTGTCTAAGTTTGTTGGGGTTTTTTTTAATATCTAGTCAATATGTGTGGGTGGCTATATCAACAAGAGCATATAAGTTATCGCTTGTCATTGTGGTTATAAATTACATCTTTTGCAACAAAAATAGCTGTCATATTTTAATACAGGGGTTAAAAGTCTGGGGGCTCATAATTACGCTGATACGACAAATTTCACATTATGAATTGCATTATAAAGAAGAGATGTAGCTCTTGCCAGCTAAAAAAAAGTAAATTTTCTCATCTTTCCAAGTGTCTGGATTGTGTGTTTCAGCAGAGCAGGTGTTTGAAGAATTCAGGGAATTTGGAGCACTGCCTGCTTAGTAGCTGTAAGTAGTGGTGTATTCAGATACATTTCTGGGTTGTAATAGTTATTTTTAGTTGCCATAGTTATTTTTATTGGTAAGAAGCACCACAGACCTTTGAGAACTGAAAGTGTTTGCATATGAGGATGTAGTTTAGTGTGGTGAGTATTGCTTTCAGTGCTCCTTTTCTTCTTCCAGCTTCTAGACTCCAGGCTTTAGGTCTCTTACTCTTGTGTTTGGTTTGTTTGTTCTTTTAAGGGAGCACAGTTTTGTAACACTACACAGTTAATCACTTGCTTTACAGTGGAATTACAACTGATATAGGGAAACTTGTGGAAATGCATACAACTTTTAAAGTGCTATGAAGCCTTACCATGGTATCAGATATGGAAAACAAGGTTAGTGTTAGTGTTTGAAATAAGACTTTGAAAAATAAGGAATTGTCGTATATGCAGTAAACCTTCCTCTCCCCAATTGATGTGCAGATTTGACTGGCTTGCTGCAGAAATTCAATGTGCTCTTAGTCCTTTCCCCTTCTCCTTTAGACTTCACACTAAAGTAGAGCACCAACAAAGACTGAGACCAAATGCTTTACTGGTTTTCCTATTAACTAAGATTCTTAAGAAATAAAAATTCTTTTTCCATGCAAATATGTTGTTCTCAAGTGTGGCATTATACTCAAACTTGTATTTTCCTTTTGTCTACCTCCATTTTCCCCAGTAAAATGTAAAAATATATTTTTATGAACTATTCATTGAGTTATTGAGGCATTTAGTAGTCCAAGGAGAGGTTTATGCATCTGTGACTCTTTTCAGCAGATTTTCATTAAAACCAAATTCTTCAGATGATTTCCTTTTTGGACTTACTTCTGAAATTTATTAATCAGTCTCAACAGAAATCAGAGAATTTCACAGAAACTAAAATTGTTATTTTGAATTATGATTATGAAATTCCTACAGAACAGTAATGTTTAATAGGAAATTTTAACAAATCTAAATAGGCTGAGTTGCTTTTTAAAATTACTTTTTTTTTTTTTTTTTACTGATCAGCATCATACATAAATTGGTAAGAAATTAAAACCCTAAAGGAATTTTCACTTTATTTTTTCTTCTATTAAAAGTGTTTTCTAATTGCTTTTCTTGCTCATTAGAAGTGACAAAAACAACCTTTTTGCTCAGTTTCTGAGGTTTTTTTAGGTCCCATTCCAGTGGTCCAGTATACTGCATGTTCCTCCATCCCTGTGATTTTAGTAAAACACTCATTTTAAGAGAATCTGTCTCCTTTCCTCTGTATATCATGAAAACAATAACTAGCAGCAGGCTGAAACAATTTGTGGATAGTTATTTGTGCTCAGTTTTGAACTGGAGAAATAGTTGTTTCTACCAGTTTTCAGTGTAACTAAGTTGACGTAAAGCCACTTAAATACAATATGAGAGAGTATTAACTGATTCTTTAGCATAATTTGGCGGAATCACTTTCTGAACCATTCAAAATAACTGTTTAGCTTCATGATAAATTGGTAGTATGCTTCAGAATCAAATGCTATTCAGTGGTTTGCTTGGAAGGAATTTTTATAGAGATGACATGGTTGGAGGAGCATGGCCAAGGTAGACACCTGGAAACAGAAAGCTTCAAAATAAAAAGCTTTTTAGGAGGTTTTCTCTTTTTTCACAGGTTCTCGAATGTTCGTATACAGGTGTAAAGAGAGAATTAGTTTCATTTTGCATCAAAATGTTTATCTGTTTCTCCTGCTGGCTTTTAATTTTTTTTTTAATTGAATTTCAGTCCCTCGTACAGCTTAGGTTTTGTATAAGGACTGCAATTCACTTAAAATCTTTAGTATGTTAAATGCAGTGCATTTTAGCTAAAACATGTCCTAGACATTATTCAGTTAAGGTTAACCTATTAGCAATTACAAATAACTAGCTTAATTAGCTTAATTCACTTAAGAAAACTTGAAGGTGTTGGATGCTTCATAGAAACCCAAACTTGCCTTTCATCAACATTCATACCCTGAATTCTTGAACTTAAACCAAGCTAAATTTGCAAAAAATATATATATATATATTCATATAAGTTTTAATTGGATTTTAAATTCTTATTTTTATTTCTACATTTGAGGAAGCATACTGCAGTATGGTAAATGAATTCTGTGAGTTGTGTATTTGTGTTGATTTGACTTGTGTCTATTGTTGTGCTCATTATAGCTTGACGTCTTACTGTCAGGATACTCTGAAAGTTCTGTAATATATTTATAGAATTATAAAACCTTTTTCAGCAAACTGGCTTTTTGCTCATTCTGTAATATGAAAGTGTATTGTTAGATTAAACTTTTCAGTAAGTAAACTTCAAATTTTTTCTGACAGGTGATTGTCTTCCTATAAACTAATCATTTTAATTTATCCTTTAGAAAAGCAACATTACAAAGCAAATGGTATTTGAATAATATCTAGATTTGTGACAGCATCTGAGAATACCCTTTGTTTGCCTTCAATTTGTTTCTTAAAGGGGTTGTGTTTTATACTACCTTTTTAATAAACAAACTCATTAACAGAGCAAGTCTTTGCTGATCAGTTTTAAGATAAGGTATTCCTTTTTTCCTCAGTAGAAGATACCATAATGTTTGGTGCACAGGGGCTTCAGTTTATAAACCACATGTGTTAACGTGCCAGAGCTTTCAGTTGGACCCAGCACACACGGTGCTTTAACTGTGAGTGGGATATGGTATTTGTTCCCTATAGGGTTTGGTCTCAGCCTTCTTCCTGGCTTGGGGTGTTAATGGACCTGCATGGAGAGGAAAGGAGCAGGAAGAATCACTGCAGACACTAGTTAAAACTGAGATTGTGAAGATGTTTTTGATAAGGACAAGTAGAATTTTAATTTTTTATTCTCAAGGTTTTTTTTAATTCTTTTTTCTTCAAAGCTTTGACATGTTGAATGCTTCAAAAGCACTGGAAATCATTCAATTCCTGTACTGAAGAATAGGGATTATAATCCCATTTTACCCTCTAGTTCTTTCTAGGAGTTTTAAATTGATGCCACCTTAACCTGAGGAGAGCTTTAACTGTCAGCCTGAGATGAAGATCTCAAATAAGGTCTTGAAAAGCTTTAGAAGAGCAAATGTCTGCCATATGGGACAGTTTAGAAAAGGGAGTCAGAGCGATGAAGATGTTGAGGGCTCTCGCCTTGCTGGTGGAATGAAATCCAGTCTGTCTCACTGTCAAAATCTTTTACGCAAACAGTGTGTCAATAAAAGATTAAGCACCGTCATGGGAATTCTCCCAGCCTGGTAGTTAAGTTGTTCTGGGAAGGGCAGCGGGTGGATTCATACGTATTTAGGCAGAGGGAATTGGATTGTGCTCTCCAGCTTTCTAGGTGAGTAACCAAACTCCAAAGCTCTACAAAATAATAATAATGTCACCAGTTTGGTGACTAGTTCCCCAGTGTGTTTTTTCCAGCTGAGACTGGCGAGTTTGACCCTGTTTCAGCATTTCTGGAATGACTAATTTTTTTAATTTTGGTAAACTTGCTACAAAAAAAACCCCAAACTTTCCTGCTTATAGCCTTTACAGAACAAGATTCATTTTTTTTTCTCTATATAGTTATTAAAACAGATCCAGCAAAGAAAAGTGAGAAAATTGATTATCCAGTTTATCTGGGTTGGAAACAGGTCATCTTTTTTTCAAAGGTGTTTTGTAGTTACCAACTTCAGAGTGAATATTCTGTAACATGGCATAGGAAAAGTCCTTTATCATTCTGGGCAAGTTTGGTTCTCTGCCATACCTTACAATACTCTAGACTTTTCCAAAGTCCACAGTGTCTTCTTTTTTGTGTACACATGGTTGTAAAAAAACCAAACAACAAAAACCAAACCAACAAACCTAAACCTACTTACAATCCTATTTTCCTCATTCCTGAAATCTCCTAACCTGGCTGACTTGTTGGAGTGCATTTCATGCATTCTTAGCAGATAGGATGAAGGAAACGCCTCATTCTGTGCAGCTGGAGGCTAGAAAGTGTGGGGAGTTCGTGAATGTGGCTTGTCTTCTGCTGCAGTCGCTGCAGTGCACTCAGAGCTGGCTGGGCCCAGGAAGGATCCCGACCTGCTGGACACAAAATGAGTGTCCCTCATCCAGAAAATTTGACTGATGTGATACTGCTGACAGTGAGTTAAGGTAGGAGAATTCACTGACTTCCTCAAATGTTTCCTTATAGGGAGCATAGAGGAATAACTTGATGAGAGGGAATGCCTGCTTGTTAAATTGTGGTTTGCTACTTGGGAAGTGGGATTGATTTTTTTTAAAAAAAAAAACCTGGTTTGAGCTACATGAAATCAAGAATGAAGAGTTCCCTGCCAGATGCTCCAGTAGCAAGAAATCAGGAAATTGCTGGCAAGTGTGGGGAATGTAAAAAACATTGTAAAGTGTTAGCTCTTGTGGTGAGCTGTCAACAGCCACCACTCTTATGTCTGTCTTGACCATGGGTCCTTGTCCACATGAAGAAGAAATAACTTGGCCAAATATTTGCACTATTTTGCCATTATTAAACACATTCTAAGAGTAGTGTGATATGAGCAGAGTCTATTTCATCCTGAGTTCTACTCTGTTTTGACAATGGTTTGTGGCAGACACAAATTGGAAGGATTTCTGCCTTTTGCAGACTTTGTGCTGGATGGTGGAATAATAGGAAGTTCAGGTAATGAAGACTACAGTGCTCCAAATTTAGGTCCTGTCTCCTGGGATATTAGAATCCTTACGCACATATGATCACTGAGATGTAACCGAGCTTATACCTGGCCTTCCTTTGGCTGCTTGTTGGAAAGCTCAAGAGATTTTTAGGGAAATGGTAGAAAGACAGAGGTAGATGACCTATTTTACTTTAAAATACATTATTTTTCCAGCATTTTAACTGGTCACAATCACACAAGCTGCTGCACACAAATAAACAATGCTAAAGGAGCCCAGAATTAATGTCAGGAGCTAGTTAAGCATGTTAATAAAGTGGTACAAAGACATGATGGCTTGTACTGAGTCAAGAGTGGGAAAAGTGGTCCTCTGGGCTGGTGTTAATGCATTCTAAATTGTATGTTGATGTGTAATGCTGGAGCAGAGAAGGAAAAGCTGCTTTGCTTCTTGCTCTTGAGATGACTCCTTGTCCTTTCTCAGGCATTCTAGTTGCTCGTGACAATTTTCAGTGGCAAGTATTGGCCCCCGGCTGAGCAATTGTAAAGTTCCCTGATCCAAATAGCAGGACGCTTTCTAAAACAAGACTGGGAAAAAACAGTGTCTCCTCCTGTGCTCGAAGTCCTTCCAGTTGTGTGGCTGGGTTGTGCTAGTTCCTGCTTCCCCTCATAGGCCTTGAGAAGGTGCCTGTGTATTGGGAGGAAGTGTTTCTTTAAGTTTTCCATATCTGGGAAAGATGGGTCAGTTTTAAAGTTGTGAAAGACTGTGTTCTTAATCAGATACTGTGACCTTGCAGTCCTGTTCCCACTGCTGTGTTTAGCTGAATCTAAGAGGATGGGGAAAAAGCAGTAGAAATTCTAAAATAAAGACTAAAGAGCTCTAGAGTTTGAACATGAGTTGGCAGTTGCTGACAGGAGTTTAGGGCTGGATGAGCAAGTGACCATGAGTCAGGGAGAATTGAACAGAACACATGGTTGGAGATGGAGGTAATAAGCAAAACTAGACATGGAAGTAAATAATAAACATGGAAAGGAAATTTGTATGTGAAGGCTTAAGCATTAAAAGAGGGATAGATTATGGCTTGACAACCTTAATCCTCATATTTTCAGCCTGAGCAGTTTTTTTCGTGTGCAAGAAAATTCTGAGAAACTATTTGAAGGCAGTCTTCACAGGCACTTCAGAGTATCCTTTCAGACACAGATGAGTAATGTTTATTTGGAAGCTTCTGAGGATTGTGGGATGTATAACTAGGAAATAAATCAGATAAATGTGTTAAACTAGGTTAAGCAGTCCTGTGTATTGCAGGGTTAGTTGAATGGAAACAGATATCTAATGGTTCATGAGGTTTTATGCACTGCAACTGGCTATTGGCTAAAGCTTGCCCTGATCTCTGAAAAATAACAACCTTCCTTTTGCTACCAAGAGAAATCAATTATACTATGCAGTGTCATGAGCTGACAATGAGATTGGAAAACTGAATGGAAACAGCAGACGCTTTACTGCGTTTGTAGCCTGAGCCTTGCTAAATATGATTTTGATTAGAGCAGGACTTGTGAGCTCTGTCTGTGAGCTTGCTCCCTCGTGGCCAGAAACTACAAATGCATGAAAATTATTCTTCTCCAGGGCAAGCAGTGACATTCCTGTCCTACTCTTACCATATCTGGCAGCAGAGATTTTTAAAGAGAACAAAAACGAGTCTTACAATCTTCTGTTGATTTCCTGCAAACTATTTTAGTGTAGTTCCTGCCTTAAACCTGTAAATTCTGGCTAACCCACTGTGTGTTTCAGCAGTCTTGCTCCAATGTTTTAAGCACCTGGTAGACCCATCATGATCCTAGGTAAGTTGTTTCAAACAAAAAAAGGTTATTTCTTTTGGTTTTGTTGTTTTTTCTTTTTACTTCAATTTGCCATTATTTTAGTTTCCAATAATTTAATCTGAATGTCTTTTTCTAACAGGTGAAGCTATTCATTACTCTTAGAGGTATTTTTTTTGGAGATCTGTGCTGACAGTGATTAAGGTGCTTCAGACTTTACCTTATCTAAAATTATTATTTTCAGCTGTTATGTAGTATTGTGGGGTTTGGGGTTTTTTCTGCTCTTGTTTTGTTGTTTGTTTGGTTTTTTTTCACTCTGTCCTTGTGTTTTTTGAATACAAAAACCTAAATTGGACAAAGCATTTTGATAAGTTCACCCTGAACTACATTCAGGGATAGTGCCACCTCTGAATTACTTTTTTAACTGTTTCAGTTCTTCCAGAGGGCACATTTGCACAGTACCAGGTCCTAAGCCCAGACTTACAAAGTCGGGGTGAGAAATGAAAGCTGATGGATAGATGTGCCCATTCTGCCCAAGTATTTAATTTTAGTAGTAGCTAATAAGGAAATCAGTAAAGAGGAGGTGCATGGAAGAAGCGGAAAACCAGAGAATCTAATCCTACTAATAAGTGTTCTGGTCCCTACCATTTTTGGGAGGAAGCTGGGATCACCACTCACTAGGCACTTGAAGTTGAATACTGTCCCTTTGACCTGTCTGGTTTTTTTTGGTTTGTGTTTTTTTTGGGTTTTTTTTGGTGTTTTTTTTTTTTTTTACAGGGACTGTTGGCCATTAAAAATGGAAGAAACAAGGAAGCTTTCCCCAAAGCTGAGTAAAAGCAAAGAGCCTGTGAAAACAGAATGGGGATCTCAGAGCGTGGTGTTCACCTATTTCCAAGGGGACATTAACAGCATGGTAGATGAACACTTTTCTAGAGCTCTCAGCAATGCCAAGAGCCCCCGAGACCTGAGCACAAAGCACAAGGGTGAGACTGTTGTCTATGAAGCCTTGTGTTGGATAGGGGTGACTGGCTTTCACTAAGGAATTTAAGATCTGTTGAGCTTAAATTTGGAATTGTGTGCAAACAGAAATCAAGAAAATCATACTTGTAAAGCCCTAGGTTACGTAGTTGGAACTTCCTGGGTAAATCCCTGTGATTGCTGGAGTATTTCCTAAGCTTTCCATGGGCGTTGGCAGGACTAGGTCATTTTCCAGCCAAGTGTCCCCATCACTACTGGATGCAATAAGTGCATTATGACTTGTCATCTTAACAAAAATATATTTGTCTAAGCTTGCAGCCATCAAAAACCTGCCTAAACTGGTGTTGTGTAGTACACATTTAATACTTAGTAGAAACATTGATGGTAGTGGTTTAATCTGCCTTTAGTATGAATTTGTGGTTGATTTTTAAGATGAGCAGCACTAAAGTGATTATATATTTCTGTAAAAATTAATATGCAATCTGGTAGCATTCCCTTGGAAATCCACTGGAATTTGCCTTGGGAAAAAAAGTAAGAATTGACGGGACTTCAGATGGTTTCTTTTCTCTTTTTAAGTAGACAGCATGTCTCCCCATCAGTGGAATTTCTCTTCACATTGCTGCAAATCATATCCATCATCTTCTTCAACAAGCATGGCAAATTCTGCTCTGAATTGTTCTGCTGCTGGTGTGGTAGGCCAGTGCCAGCCATCATCTCTGTGTAGTCGTCCAGCTCAACCTGCAGATTTATGGCCCTTCCTTCCAATTGGGACTCCCAGTGTAACCAGTTCAGTGTATCCTCACACCCTCCCTGACCTGCATGCAGCTGATGAGCTGATCTCTGACAGGAAATACAGTTCTCTTCTTGGCCTTCTGCAACAGGAAAGGTGCTTAACATCCATGCAAGAATGCACCATGAAGCAACACTCAAGTTCTGCTTGTATGACTGGATCTGCAAGGTTACAAAATATGAGTCAAAGTTCAGCTCCTGGGGGAGGTAAGAAAATGCTATCACTTTATTCTTTGATGACATCTGATGTAAAGTGACAGAATAATACCTCCTGTTCCTAAGCTTTTCAATCTGGATACAACTTCAGGCAAACTCACAGAAATATTTTACAGTAGGTAACCCTGATATGTCCTGTGGTACTTGGGATCAATTAGCCATATAGTATGGGTTAATAAAAAAATGTGTATTGACTACTCACACAATATTTCACCTTCTGGCTTGAGTATAAGCTTGACTATAAGCATTATTCATAGTGCTATCGCAATCTCTAATACCCATGGATATTAGGTTTGGTGTGTACCAGATACTCCCTCACTGGGACCAGAAAGGGGTGGCCAGGAAAAACCCCTGAGCAACCTCTCTTACTGTGCAGGCCCTTTATGTTCTGAGTACAGGATGGGAAACTGCAGCTCTTACCAGCATGACCACGGGTTTTTCTACCTCCCGGTCTGTCCGTAGCTGGAATGATGTGGGTACGGGGGCTGGTGGACCAGCCTTGCCTTGTTTCCTGGCTAAGAAATCCCTGCCATAAGGCACTGCTGCTCTGCCTGCCAAAGGTTATATCTGCTCCCTGAAAATTTCCCAGAGCTAATGCAATTCACACAGTGATTTTGTTGCTTGTTTATTATCCACAATTACTAGGAATCCAAATCCTAGGTACTACCAGCACACAGCAGAAAGATGCCTGAAGTTCATTTATGTCCCCACAGTGTCTAGATCTGCTGGATAAAATTGCTCTCTTGTGAGTAATTCTGCCTTTATGAAGCTCTCTGGGGTCAGGCTTCCTGGCCAAAACACTGATGCCTGTTGGGGTGCATCTACATTGCTGTTCCTGGGCATTCCCCAGTCAGGCAGCTCAACACTGGTCTCCAGAAAAAAGGGTTGTGAAATTGTTTAGGAAGTCTGCTGGAAAAATACAGTGTGTCCTACCTGGTGCTTCTAAACAAAAAAAGATCAGACATGTAATGAAGCCATCCTGAGGCTTAGGTTTTGAAAAATAAGCAGCTGTGAAATACCTCCTGGTTACCCAGTTTCAGAATTGCATCAGCAGGAATTTAGGAGAATGTGGGCTAAAGACTGCCTGCAGATACAAGCAGGAGTTTATCTACAGTTCCTCTTTTGAGGATACAACAGAGCTATGTTGTTATGAGGACCCTGATTGTAGGTGTTTTGCTGACTTACTACTGCTAGAACATCTAATGCCTGTCTGTGGCTGTTCATGGTAGAGTGTCTGTATCTTCAGCTGGAATGCAAACCTTCTGCTCATGGTATATGAGCAGAGGTTTTGTGTATGTGTTGCATAGGTGCTCGCCCTATGCTCTGTGTAGCTAGTGAATGAGAATTTCATTACTTCAAAGACAGTGTCTGAACTGGGCTCTCATTTATGAACAAGGTAAGGTGCCCTCTTCCCCAAAGGGAGTAATGTGAACCTATCAAGGCTTGGGAGCCCCAGGAACTGACTCCTTCAGAAAAATACCTATTTCATTAAATTAGTCTTGTGTCAATAGCAGGGAAGCACTGCTAACAACAGTAGCCTTTTTTCCCAAAAAATTCAGAATGAAAATGAGTGAGGAAAAAATTGAAAAGGAAATTAAACAGCTTAGTATTCCCCAGCCATTACAAATTAAAGCCCTTTTTTCCAGGATGTGTACAGGGCCTTTCTGAATATTTGGGAGCCTTTAAACAACACACATGTAGCACCATCCTTGTGATTATCAAACAGCCTGACAAGGATCTATAAGAAATAGCTGGTCCAGGTTCAGAGGGAGTCTTTAGCAAATCCATAGGATGTGTGCATTTAGTTTGGCTGTAGGAGTCCTTGTTTCCTGGCTCTATCTGTTAAATATACTTCTCCTTGCTCTGTGTTGTGTTTAAGAACAGCTGATGTTTATATCTATGGAAGTGCATGTTGCTGTGCCAGACAGCACAGAGCTCCTCAGCACCTGTGCTATAGGCTGGGCTGCAAAAGCACAAGGTTTCTTTAGTAACTACTGCCTACTTTTATCTCTGTGCTGAATCTCTGCTCATCCCCAGTATTTTTTTTTTATTTTTTCTTTTTTTAAGAGAGGAAAGCAAACTCTTACCAAGGCTCAGAAAATCCCAGTGTAAGCCATGCCACTCCAGGTGAGTAAAGAAATCAGCAGGTTTAGAACAAATCAGACAGCAGACTTGCTTATGCATGTAGTATTAAAGATGCTTCCTTGTTTGCTTTTGTATTTCAAAAGCTCATTTTTCCCCCAGATAGAACCACCACCTCCCATAACTACATTAACAAAGAAGAAGCAAAACTCTACATGATATTAAAATGAGACACATGGTTTGTTTTGGATTTTTTTACCCCATCTACCTTAGTTTTTGTGCTTATACCATCAGGCTGCCATTTCACAATGCCTGTTTTGCACTTGCTGTCCAAGTTTCAGATCCCAAAAAGATAGAACAGCCCTTGCTTTGTACCTCAAGCACACATGTGGTAGCACTCCTGCAGTTTGCATCAACAAACCCACCTTACTGCTGGGTGAGTTGTTCTAAGAAATTATTCCCAAAGCATTCAGGCTTCCATATTATTTGTCTCTTGACAGTGGTCATATCCCATGTTGCTTCTTTGATGTACAATGTTTTGGGAATGGGTCATTCTGGTTATTCTAGTAAGTGTTCTTCTGCACCAGACTCAAAGGTGCAAATTTGTTTGCACATCATCTCAAGAGATTGCAAGGACTGTGCTGTTTGACTGTCCTGATGCTGCTTTGTCTTTCAGGTATTCAGCTTCATGACAGAAGACGAAATTTGTACTTCTAGCACCTGAATGTTTCCACTTTGTTCTGAAAGAGAAAGTTATTTCAGTGAACATTTTATTATTTGCAACTGTGAATCAAGAAGAAACCAACTGCAGCTAATCCCATGTTTTTTTGCTAAGCTGGAGGAATACGTGTACTATTTACTGTTTGGAGAATGACAAAATAACCCTTTTCTATACAGTAAATAATTTCTAATGTTTTTGCTGTTAATTTGGCAGTATGTTTGTTGTGGTGATATATTGTTTATTTAAGGCTTTACATGTAGCCCTCTGGAAAGGACTCCTGCACTTTTTAATTTTTGTGTTTATTAATTTAACACCTCCTGATAAGAAGCACAATTCTTATCAATACAGCTGATAACCTGTAAATACAGGGATGCAGTTAGCATAAATTCAGTGCTGCAGCTTTGTAGCTTGATTTGATACGTCCATGTTGCTTAAAATAGTCTTAGGCCGCTGACAAGAGACTTCAACCACAGGTCAGCAAAGCAACCAGAGAAGCAAAGAAATTATTGTATTTATGTTTCAAAAGTGCAGCAATTTATGACCATACTGGCAATTCCTAGGAATACTCTTCAGAAGTTTGTTATATACCTATGCCTGAAGGCTCTGTTTTGCCTTCTCACCAATATATAATCATCCTCTAGAAAGCTGTGAATTCACATTAGCTCTGAGAGGAAACCTAGATTCTCATTGGGTTCAATTAAAATACCATTCAGCAAAAAGCTGCAGGTAGGAGTGTTCTATTTTCCCAGCCTCTCTGCAGGTGTAAAAGATTCTTTTTCTAAATAAGCTCTGGGTTTATTTCTTCCTTCTCCACTGGTTATACATTAATATAATATATAATGTAATGTAATGTAATATAATATAATATAATATAGTATGATTATCTTTTTGTGACAGCTCTATGCTGTTCCTGAAGGCAATTTGACCTCTGAGATCTCAGAGCTTGTGATTTTATAGAACAAATCCTGAGCTAGTATAAATGTTTGTGACAGTTGCACCAGTGGCTCTGCTGCCACTGCTCCAGTTATAACGCCTTGTGTAATTTAATAAATAATACGAGCTTAGCAAAATTGAGTGTTTATGGTACTAATATAGAAACTGAGATTTTGGAAGTTCTTTTTTAAATTTTACAAGTTTGCTCTAGCAATTACATGTTCTACATCAATCTGAGATCACAAGGGGAACTGTTTTAACTAAATGAATAAAAGATACACTAATGTCCTGTCTCCTTATAGATGAGCACTTAAAATGACCCCACTCTTCTTCAAGATCTCTACAAAAATCCCTTTCTTCTCTTCTGAGTTTAAGAATACTTCTCTAAGTAGTTTTCTTTTGTTATACCAAGTCACTTAATTCCCTGATTTTTGAGGCTACATGGCTACATCCTCTATGGGCCAAAGCAAAGATTTCCAACCTGTACTCTGTACATCTGCCTTACTGGCATGTGCTATAATTCTAGTCAATTATAATTCTATTTCTTCAAAATATTGAAATATTGAAAAATGTTGAAAAACCCTTTTTTCTTCCCTCTTCCATCCCTTCCTCAGGAAAATGCTTATGTAATTTCTCTGCAAGGTCTGAGAAGAGTGTCTGTTTAAATGCTCTTAAATGCAGTGCTTCCTTGAACAATTTGTTTTACAGCTGGGACTAGTCAAGACAACTTATTAAGCCCTTGGTTCTGGCGAATCAGCTAAGTGGGGTTGGACAGTGTAGGGAGGAAAAGGGTTAAAAAAGGGTTAAAACCCCTTGTTTTTAAAGGCATGTCCCTTATTGCAATTTGCCTTTAATGATTTAGTATAATAGAGTTTTAAACATTTCACAGAAGTTCTCTACATCAGATAGGCTTTTCTTTATAAATGTATAGGTTAAAACGATATAAATATACATATATGCTCCTCTAGAATATTTGTCTGGAGTGGAGTGTTTCTTGTTCTCCAGCCCAGGCTGTTGCTGTGTTCCTGTGCTGCCCTGCTGCTGTCATGCTCCAGTGACTATCTTCATTCCCATTCAGTGCATACTCTCCTTGCTAGAAAGGACTCGGCAGCTGTGACACTGCATCCAGCAGCTGCCATCTGGTACTTCCAGATTCCTATTTTCTGTCCCTCCTCTGAATGCAGCAATCCTGGAGGGTCTGGGAGAAGGGATGCTGGATGTTTCCCTTTTAACAGCCTCTGATTCCCTGAATGCTAATGGACCTCTGCAGAGACCATTCTGAAGGATAGACGGATGCCAGGTGTTACATCCCTCAAAGTGTTCAAAAAGTATGTGCATGTGGCTCTTGGGGATGTGGTTTAATCATGAACACAGTGATGCTGGATTTGTTATCTGGGAGGTCTTTCCAATTGTAATGATTTTATGATTTTTTTTATTAATTTACTGACCCTGTGAGAAACCACTACTTGCCTTTAATTGGGTGTCCTCTAGTTCAGGAATACTTGTTTGCACAGATGGCTTTTCTCCTGTCATTTTCTGATGGGCAGATGAGATGCCAACTACATGATTTATGAGCTCTGGTCAGAGATTAATGTATCTCTGAGATGCATTAGGCTCAGAGATTTATGTCAAGCACTGGACATTCCTGTCCTATGTGGAATCTGGGCCTTTTTTCACTTATCTGCAGGGACTGGTGTACATTTTTTCCACCATGTGTGTCCCAGAGTGCAGACACTTTGCTGGCATTTTGCTCTGATTCCTTACATGAGCTGGCTCTGGTCCAGGTCCTCCTCTGATGGTCAGATAAACCTTGTGGGTGGTTGGGAGCAGCAGGCTGGCTTAGCTACTCCACCCCACTTTAGTCATTCATTAGTAGTGTTAAAAATAGTCCCAGACAGTGGTGGCAAACAAGAGAGATTCTTTTGCTATGAAAGAAAAAAAAAAGTGTTATATGTATTAAAAAAAACCCAACCAAAACATAACAGGAATGCTCATCCCTTTCAAAGAAGGGAACACAGATTTTCATTTCCTTTCATTTTTGTTCAGGTGCCAATTAATTTGTCCCATCCTGGGTGAACAAGGGATACCTCATATACCCATGTAGCACGTAGCCTTTGGTAAACACTCACCCATCACCGGAATTTTTGACTGTCTTGTGGTTTTTAATCCCCTTTTCTGGCAGGCTTTACCAAGCCCAAGCATGGCAATACTGATTCGGGGTAAAAGTGTTGTTGCACCACTTTGTTCTGTGTTCTGTTTTCCTGCAGTGTCTGACATAAAACGTTCACGTTTCAGCTCAGGGCCCTGTTCTACATAGCTGCTGACCCACTGAGAGTTTCGTACTCCTCTGAGCTAGCATATGCCTACACTTGGAGGATTTCAGCAGAAAGCTGGTGCAAACTGGTGGTTTTGGTGCATTGGTATCCGGAAGGGGTTTCAGTATCACAGGCAGCATCAGAGGGCTCTTTGTTACTGCTCTGACAATATTGCTGCACAAGCAGTTGCACTGTGGTCGTACCCTACAGGTCACAATTTATTTACTGTGGAGGTGCAAAAGTGGCTGCGAGGTGGGCAGGCAGCTGCTGGGCTCCCCAAGATAGCAGAGAGGATGTTTTTAGGTGCCTGGAGCCGTAATGGAGCTGGCTGAGTCAATGTGAGCCAATTCAGATGTAGTGCTCCCCAGAACAGGGTCCAGCAGGAGTGCCCACGGGTCCCTGTGAGACACCATGAACCTGTCTGAACCCAGTGCCAGGATTTCACTGCTGATTCATGCTGTCCTCCAGCCTGATTTCTAGGTGGGGGTTCATTTGGGTGCAGCAAAGGCCTCAGAAAAGTGGCTACTTCCCTGACCTTCATCCTTACCTCTGTACCCCCATCCCCTTCCATTGCCCCACCTCAGGATTTGTGTCTGACCACAGACATTTGTGTTTTCTCTATCTATCTTTCTCCAAAAGGCTAATGCTGGAATCAGCACAGGCTTATAAAACTACTATCAAGCTGCATTTCATTCTGGAATGCGATGGTATTACAGCTCCTGTTTTTACAACCTTTCTACCTGAGATAGGGATAAAATAACAGCTCTTTCCCATACAAAAATAAGGTTTCTGTGCTCAGAATTATAAAAAAATAAATTAACTCCAAGATACTGTGTTTTCCCAGAGTGCAGTGTCACTTTAGATAGAAAAACAAATTGCGTGGATGTAAGGAAACTGAATGTACTGAACACCCAAAGGGCATCTCTGGTGACTGAGACCAGCCTAAACTAATCCTGTACTAGCTGTCTGTTGGACACTCTTACCCTGAGCCAGGAGCTCAGTGCAGAAGCACCCATGCTCCATGGGCTCCATGTGAACAGCCCAAACATCATCAACTCTCAAGCATGTGCTGAATAAATGATACATAAGAGAAGGTGCCATGTGCAGCTCCCCAGCCAATGAACAACAGTATACAGTCTGTATACCAGTGTACAGTCTGGGTGCCATGCTCAACCCACTCCAGTGGAAAGCCCATCAGCTAATTAAAAGTGATGGGCAATAAGGAAAGTCCTCCAACTGGACTTTTTGATGCATAAAGTTGTTTGGTTTTTCTTTTCTAAGGTAGACTAAGTAGATTCTAAGGAAAACTGCCTGGCTTTAGTCAAAGCTGTCACATAACTAAGACATTTAAGGCATGCGATACTATCACAGTTCCACCCCACACTGTTTGTTGGTGTTGGATTTGTGCCACATTTTAAGATTAGCATGAAAGCACTCTTTTTTCCCTCTGTTCCAAGGCTGCACTAGTGACTGCTGACTGTAAGTGTGCAAAGAGCAGTCAGGCATTATTTTGCTTGCAAATGATAAAGGGACTTTGCTAGAAAAACAGCATTAAGGATGGTGCCACTTTTGGGTGCCCAACAGCTAAGTTCGTTGTGTAGCACAAAGGTGAGTGATTTACTCTGAGTAAAACAGCAGGGGCAGGAGAGGCTGGGCCTATTTCCACTCTGCTCCGTGCAGGATTTAAGGACCCTCTTGCTGACATCTACATTTGCAAACAGAGCATGAAATGATTGCCCAGCACCTGACCTGGAAGATTTGGACTGTTTTTCTTGGTTTGTTCAAATCTGTAGGACCAGGATCATGGTTGCACTACTGTTTCCTGCACAAAAAATTATTGCAGAGAATTTGGTTTATTAGATGGATTTAAGGCACAAAGTCCACATGTATCACCTGTAAGGTGGTGCATTGAACAGAGTTGCTCAGTGGGGCTCCTTTCCCCCTCCCAAGCCAGGGATGAGCTGCTGATAGAGCATGAGTCAGGACAGGGCCGGAGGATGAGCTGGATCTGATGAGGAGGCTTCCAGGTCTGCCCTTCAAAACATGCTATTGTGGAGTTCATCTTGCAGGAACACACATGGGATGGTGGAACAATGGGGAAGATCAGGAGGCAGAGTCACAGTGGAGCTCACAGACATGGGCAGACAACAATTCAGGGAAGTGCTTCATCCCTGCAAGGCATCCTGGGCAGCATCCTCCTGGCACGGGCACAAGCAAGAACCCCCCTGCCTGCACAGAAATCTGTTGTCTGCCCATAGGCTGTGTAGAGGCATCCCAAAAAGCAGTTGTGTTTGTTTTTTTTCTTGCTTCACGGGAAAGCAGCCTGCAAATACTGTTGAGAAATGACAGTTTGGGAAGCAGTTCTGGAATCGTCCTGCAGAGTGCTGATGCTGCAGCAGGCTGCCAGGCTGCTCTGATTCTCGGCAGTTTTCCCACATTGACAGGCTGCAGGGCACAAAACAACCGTGTAACAGTGACTAATGAGAACGGCTGCCTGTCTCTATGAAGAAACTTGGGAAGGGAGGGGTTTCAGGGAAATAAGAGCCTTCTCTATTGCT